TGGGAGCCTTGCTGATTAAATCCAATTACCTCTAGAGGCTGGAAACCAGAGATATGACCCCCCTACCTAATTCTGCAGCAAATGCTACACATAGCATATCCCAAAACACCAGGGTAGGAGGTCAGAGTGGAGGGAGAGACTTGGGAAGAGGACAGCCTGGTGGGTAGGAAGCGGGGAGAGACTCAGACGTGCCTGTTGCTGTGCTTCTCCTCTGTGCCGCCTTGGCACGTGGTGAGGAGTGGCTGGAGTAGGGGACTGTGTAGAAGCTCCGTGTGGGAGACCATGGTGCAGGTGAGCCGAGGGAGGGATGCGGGCGCCGGCAGGACTCACGGGCTGCATGCAGGAGCGGTTCAGTGGCAACTTGGAAAAGTACAAAGATGGGTCAAGTGAGGATGCAGGGAAATCCCCAAACAAGCAGGTCAAGTGGAAGTGAGGACTTCTTTGATGTCCAAAGGGAATGAGCACAAAGTTACCCGCAAGACGTTTATTCAGATGTCCTCTTTCTCCCTCCACCCTCCCTGTTCTCTGCACACAAGCGTGTAGCACCTTCTACGTGCTTGACCTGGTGCTGGGAACGAGACTAGATAGTCGTGCGGGCTGCAGTGGGCTGGGCCCAGGGCTTGTGAGGAGCACGCGCGCAGGGGCGGGGCAGAGACCCCTCATTTCTCTACAGGAGGCACTTGCCTTTGTTGTCCAGGGTCTTCACGCTCTGCCCCTGCCTGCCCCTCTTCCACCTCTCGGCTCCCCTTTCTTATACGCGGTGTCTTACCCGGAATTACCTGCTGTTCCCTGCATGCACACGCTTCTGTTCTGTAGCGGCTGTGTTCTTTCCACTGTGCTCCAGTCATCGAGGAATTGGGTTAAGATAACTCCAAGAATCATTTCCAAGGCTGCTTGTACAGTGTCTGCCACGTGGTGCCTGGATCAGTGGGAAAACTTACTGTGGAAACTTCTGGAAGCTCTCGAGAGTGGAATGTAGCTGAATGGGCTGTGGATCCATGTCGCATGGGGCCACAGGGAATTGATGGAGGGCGTGGGGGCTTGGAGGTGCGCGTTTGGGACAGTTTTGAATGGGGTTGACTTTGCTTATGCTCCCTGCAAGCTGCCCGGCTGCAGGCAGTTACTGGGGTGGGGATCCCAGGAAGCAGGAGTGAGGTGTGGGGAGGGTGAGACAGGGAAGGGGGAGAGACAAGGGTTTGCTGCTGGGTTCCAGCTGTGGTCACTGGGCGTTCGACTCTGCCAGGATCTCGAAGCTTCCAGAATGTGTCCCAGAAATGTGCACTCAGGCCGGGAGCCCAGAGTGGCTGTGCATTGCTTCCCATTCCTCCCCACCACGTTGACCCGTCTCCACCTCTGGGCAGCAGGGGCCTAGCTCGAATGCTTCAAGACACCTGTGCAAGCTGGAGGTCGGACGCTGGGGTGCAGGGTGAGCCTGAGTGTCCACTGTAGCTGCTGCCAGGGTCGTGTGTGGGCCTCGGGGACATGGTGAGAGCCCCGCTGGCATTTGCTACGGGGAGAATCAGAGCCCACACGGGCACGGAGGGTGCTGGTGGCTGCCCAGGAGGTGGAAGGTGCATCTTCTCCCGTTGCCCGCTGTCTTACTCCGCGTTTTCTTTTACTGTCTTGTACTGCCCGCCCCTCCACCTCCTTTCTCCTGCCGTCCTCCTTACATAGCAGCTCCATCTCCCTGTTGGGAGGGTCTCAGAATTCAGAGATGCAGAGCTTGTCTGATTTGACCCCCCATGTGGTTCAGTCTTTCTCACAGCATCACGATTGCTACGTGAAGCTCCTCGAAAACCCTCCTGAGAAACGCATCTCTAAAGCCACCTCTCCCTCGTTGGATGGCTCTGACTGCTGGAAGTTTCTTCTTCTGGTGAAGTCTGTTGCTGACCTCTACCCATTGGTCCTAGCTTCGCCTTTTTGAGCACAACAGAGCAGGTCTTCATTGTGTTCTAGGTTAGGTCCTCTGCTATCGGTCTGCGTCAGGCTCAATAAAATAACAAGAAGACACAGACCCAATTTCCTGGAGGTCACAGCACAGATGAGGCATCCAAACAGATAATTGCAAGGCAGTGTGGGAAATCCGACCGTTGATAATGTTGATTTCTTGGTGTGTGTGTGTGTGTGTGTGTGTTTGTGTGTAAATCTGAACTGCCTTTGTCATCTGGACAAGCAGGGGCCTGTGGATTGGGTGTTAGATGTTACGGGGACCTGCATAGTTGGAGCCTGAAGGGGTGAGCAGATGAGTACACGTGGGTGCGTACTTGGGGATCTTGGCCTTGAGGGTGCAGGGGTCGTGGGAGAGATGATTGATGGTGAATCTTGGAGGACTTTATCTGGCACTTTCTGCTCATGGAGATGGGAGGGAAGCCATTGAAGAGTTTTAAGCAGGGGAGTGACAGGGTCAGATTTGGGTTTTAAAAACGATTCACTCTCTGGCCAAGATGGAAAATGGTTTGGAGAGTGTGTTAGTCGAGATACTTTCAGTAGAGGCATCAATTAGAAACGAATTGGAAAGTGGGAATGTCCATTCTCCCATGTCACAGATGCATGGGGATCGGCGGTTCCAGGGTCGGGTCGGGTCGGGTCGGGGGGGTGCAGATGTACCATTGCCGTCCCAGGGTCCATCCTTCATTTGGACCCTCGAGGTGTCGACCTGGGCTTTCCCTTGATCTCTTGTAGGTTCTGGGTGATTGCCTCAGTTCCAGGCAGTGGACAATAGTGATGCCCAGTGAAGCAGAGGTTTTCTTAGGGAAGGAAGCTGTTCCCAGAAGCCCTTGGCAGCCTTCACCCCAGACCCTGTTGGCCACGCTGGGGTCCTGGAGTTCCCGCTGCCAGAATGGCTGGAGCGGCTTCCTCGTTGTCCTGGGGACCGGGCAGGGTGGCTGAAGCAAGGACACGAATAGGAGCTGTGGTAATAGTTGGGCTGAGAGACCAGAGTCCCATCCAGTCTCCTCATCTCCACCTGGGTCAACTCCCATGTCTTTAGCGGGTTTCAGTCCTCCAGACCTTCTTCCACTCCTGTCCACCATCCTCGTGCACCCAGTTCTGCAGTGTATTCTTAACGTACGATGCGTAAAGCTGAGTCCAGACATGGTCAATCCAGTGCAGAGTGTGGGGAGTGTAGCCACGATCGCTTCAGCTACTTCGTGGTCATGCCGGCTGACATCGTGTGTATGCTCTTGGCTTTTGTAGTTGATTCATGATGTAAACCCAGATTCAGCTTATGGCAAGCTCTAATTCTTGTTTTTTTTTTTTTTTTTTTTTTTTTATGTAAACGTTATCTATTCCTGCTGTGTCATCCACGTATTGAATTGTAATCTGTGGTGAATTCTTTTATAAAGTAAAGCGTCATTTTTAAAAGCAAGGAGTCCTATAGTATGTTTCTACCTCTTTATAGCGTCCAGTATATTCTATATTTATGCACACCTATCTCTTAAAACTACCCGATGGAGATCAAAAATCGGAGAACATCAGGTAAGCATCGGCAGTGACTTTGGGGATACCGTGTTTTGCCCCATTCTTCAGCTTTTTAGGAGTCATTGTGTTCTTCAAGGGGTGGATATATGTAACTGTCTTGACTTTTCCCTTTGGCCTTGTAGAGTACACTCTGAATCATGATCTCATTTACTAATATTTCTTTTCAGTTTGCTATTACCATGTTTGGTGCTGACACTAATTATATGACTAAAGACCTTTTTCCAGCAGTTAAAAAAAACCCATGACTGTTTCTACCAGATCTAAAAATGTTCGAGCACCTGGATGATTGGGACAAGCGCGAAAACACTCTCATTTATAGAACACAGAAAATTGTTTGTTTCAATCCACCTGCCCCATTAGCCAGGTTTTTTCCTGGCCTCGTCTTGCGAGAGATTTCCTCCAGCCAGCATGCCGTCCTAGGAGCTTGCACTTCTCCATTTTCTGTCTTCCTTCAGGCGTCCATCGGTGGGTTTCTGTGTGGGTCCGGCTGTGGACAACTTAAATCACGGGAAGCACAGGCTTCCTGAGTTGCCTCAGGCTGTCTCCCTCTGGTTTCTCCCTTTTCTCCGGCTTCTGCTTTATTACTTCCTGGTTCTGACTTCACCTCCCTGACAACCCCTATTCCAGTGCTTTCCAAGCCTGCACCATGTGCCTGTCCTGTGACCATCCACCCACCCCGTGTTCATCTCTAACGCAGGGCTGTGCCGAGTGGGTCCTATCTCTTTGTTAGAATGTTCTGAAGAAGTAGTTCTTGGGCAGGCTACTGCAGGTTTGTGGCTGTGATTCTTGGAAGGAGACAACTCCTGTCCTTTCCTTCCCCGTATTTCCTTCTCACTTAGGAATTGGGAATAGCACGCACTCCTTTATGCTTCACTTTGATATGAAGTGTTTCTTACCCCTCAGGCTGCAGGGCTTTCTAGAGCAGGGTCTGGGTCTGTGCCCTGTCAGTCTTCTTTAGGTTACTTTTATTTATTTATTTATTTTGTAGCTAAGCTTGTTTTTTTTCTTTAAACATCTTTATTGGAGTATAATTGCTTTACAATGGTGTGTTAGTTTCTGCTGTATAACAAAACCTTGTCAGCCTTTATATCCACCGTGCCTGGCACATGGAAGGCACCTACTAACTGGAAGATGAGTAACTGAACAACTTCTTAGGCTGTATATCTAAAGAAGACCATGTCTTCTCCGCAGTGTTGATTGATGATAGATGACACTGTGGGCTGGTTGGCTTCATGACAACAAGATGAGTGGCTCCGCCTGCCCTGTCAGCTGTATCCTCCGTGCCCATGTGGTGGCCTGTGGCGGGGGATGATATTTATTGAATCACGTGAAAGACTGAAGAAGCAAAGATGCTGCCCGAAGTGGTAAAGGGGCCTGCATGGCACCGTGGACCAGTGTCTGTATCACACGTGTATGTTTCCTTTACTGTCGTCCCGTAAAAGGGTTGGGGTTGTGTGCACTCCCTGACTCCATCACTGACATAGGAGGATATTCTATGCATCTTGGTATTTGCTCCTTAGGTAACGAATCTGACCTTGAACTGGAGAAGAAGTATAAGGAAGATGATCGAGAAAAGGCCCCGAAGAGACTGCGGACTCAGAGAGTGGAGAAAGTCCAGAAGGTCTGCTCGGGAAAAGAGGCCGCGCAGATCTCCGGAGCCAAGAAGCCCATCATAAGTGTGGTTTTAACGGCTCATGAAGTGATTCCAGGTGAGCAAAGCAAGCGGGAGGGGACAGAATGGGACTCTGTGGGTGGGGCTGTGCCGCAGGCAGCCAGGCAGCTGGGGCTGTGATCCTGAGCGGCTTCCTCACTGTCGGGCTCTCCACTGAATTACCCAGTACCTTGGGATGATGGCTGACCTGTCACTGCCCAGGGCTGTGGTGGACGAGCGTGTCCAGAGGAGAGGGAGTGAGGGCTGCCCCTGCTGCTGCCTCCGCCACCTCTGCAGCCACGACCTGTCCTTGTCGTTTGAGTGGCCGCTCACAGGAGCAGTGGCCAAGGAGAGTGTCTTTTTCTTTGCCCCCTCACCAGCCCCTCTCCTGGATGTCCTCCCCGCCCTTACCGCCCCATCCTACGTGTAAGACCACTCGCACCACATGGAGGTTGGCGGCTTCTCCAAAACCCTCCACCTCACTTTTTTTTCTTTTTTTGCATTTTTTAGTGGGTTCATCATATATTTTATGATACTAGAAATTCCTGTCTCCTCTTCCTTAAACATAAAATAGCCAGTGGATTTCTTATACTACCCTTTTTAAAAAAGGTCTCTTCCAGGAAAGGATACTTTAGACAAAAAGCAGTTTATGATAGTAGATTCCAAAGTATAATAATGGGTTTTTTCCTATCCATTTGAGGTGATAGCTGTTAAATAAAATTTTGAAAAATCAAGTTTAGGATGTTGAGGACAGCTAGAGCCTTTTTAAACATCTTTTTTCAGTGCTAATAGTATTGATAACTCACTATTTAAAATGAAAAGGCTGAATAAATGCCTCTTGATACTTCAGTGCAGGGTAAGGTAATCAGCAGAGAAAAAGCTGTATAAGATTATGTGACTAGAAGTTGTTTCTGGAAGGTCACTTTGTCTGCCCCACCCTACTTCAGAGAAGTGTTATTCCGGGAAATGGAAATGCCAGGAGAGAGCTTCCTGTGTTTAGCTGTCTCTAGAGAAAATTTCTATAATGATTTCTTAAGAATTGATGGTAGTATTCTGAGATTTCTGTAAGGGGGGGGTAAAAAGTGGTTAATTTCCTTTGCTATTCCAGAAACGAGAGGTAGAGTGGAGCCTTTTCTTTAGTGCACTTGATATATAACGTGCGTGTGCATGTACCCTTGTGCACACACGCTGCTGTAAATGGTCTTTGATCGTTTCACATCCTGGACTTGCACGAATAAAGGTAACCTTTGAGTTTTCCACTCCAGACCTTTCATTTCACAGGGTGGACACAGAGGTCTGGAGGCGGGAGGGTGATGTCATATTTGGGACCAGATCCCAGGCAGCTTAGATTCCTGTTCACAGTTGATTCCACTGCTCCATTCTGTCTTGATGCTGTTTTACATTTGCGTAAAGTTTAACACATGTGGATCTATGTGAAATCTTGCAGGAAGCATATATGTGTATATGGATCTAGTTTTTTGTTTTTTAATAAGGAGATCAAGTGAAAATGTATCTCAGAAGAAGGTTATGATTATTGGAAAACTTGCCCTTTCCCCCCAAACATACACATGTACACACACACACACACACACACACACACACACACACACACTTACACACACATGCGTACACGTATACAAACACACAAGTTAAAGGTGTGAACTGAAGGAAAACTAGTCCCTTGCATGGGTGCCACACAGTAAAGAAATACGCTTCCCAGGCTCCGTCTCCTGCTCTGGGGGCAGGGGGGTGGTCAGGGCCCTCACGGCGCCTCTTTAATACGTGGTGCGTTATGCCTCCATCTCAGGTGCTACCAAGATTGTTCCGGTGGAGGCTGGGCCCCCGGAAGCAGGAGCCGCAGACCCCGAGGCCGCGGTGGCCGACCTGGCGCCCCGGAGAGGGTACCAGGAGTACGCCATCCAGCAGACACCCTATGAGCAGCCCATGAAGTCGAGCAGGTAAAGCGTTCTGTTCTGTGCGACTCCAGCCACCGCTGCAGAGGGCGAGAGATGGGCGTGTTAGCTTATCAGGACGCTGTGTGCAAACCCATCTATGAAGGGTTTCGGTTTCTTGACTGAACCTGAGAACTAGCCCCTCCATTACGGCCCTAGAGTGCTGGCTGAGCCCAAGCAGCCTCTGTGCGATGCGCGGCAGATCAGCAACTTGCTTGGGAAACGCAGCGCCTCGGCTTAAGGAAGGTGGAGCGTTCTGCTTAAGGCAGATGTATGCTTCATCTGAATAAAAAGAGGTGTGAACAAGGCCTTACTTAGTAAATTAGCTGATTTTCATAGCTCCACAATTTATAATGGAAAAGAAAATCTCTCTTTCCCCCCTACTTTCAAAAGTAGCATAAGCATCCTGTAGAAGGTTCCAACAGCCGTGTGATGTGCAGTTACAGTAACCCATAGCGCCTCTTCTGGTCGTGGTCACTACTATAGACATCGTGGTTCACAGGCCACCATAAGTTTTTCATGATATACTAAAATATAGCACTTTAATTTTGTTATTTTTTTTCCTAGCATAAAATACCAAAGGCACTGTTATCAACCTATTTTTTTAAACTTACCACACCTTGACTTTTTCCTTTTCAGTACATATTTTTTTTAAGTGTGTTTGCTGTCATGTAGATGCACTAGTTTATCTATAGCCAGTTTTTGCTTGACGGACAAGGTTTTGGTTCCTCCCTCTTTCAATACTTCTTCAAGACTTCCTGTGAGATAAATTGCTAGAATTGAAATTGCCCTCTTAAAGGATACGAGTGCTTAAAACTTGAATCGACACTGAAAACTGTCCTCCAAATACATTGGGTGAGTCGATGTCCCAGAGGGGACTAGCCTGCATGTCCCCCCACCCTCCCCATGGTCACCAGCTCAGCTGTGATACGTACCTGCTGACGTAGATCAGCAAACTCTCATCACCTGAGTTCTGTACACATTTCCCCAGCTGAGGGGAAAGACAAAATGCCAGTGCAAGTGGGCTCCCTCTGTTTCTGGAAGAGGGGGAAGTGAGGTGTTCTTGATGAGAGCGTAAGCTCTAGGCAGACCTGGGTTGGCTCTAGGCCCTTCTACTGGACTTCAGCCCAACAGATTAAACACCTTCTATGTGCCAGGCACTGGGGATGTGAGAGAGATTAGGACAGACATGGCCATTGCCTGGATGAGGCTCTGCTGTGAATGGACACAAATGCTTTTGCCTCTGAGCCTCTCTTACACCGGCCACAAGACTGTCCAGTAGAATCTGACTTAGTTTAGTGGTGGGAATAAATGATACCATATGTGGAAAGTGCTCTTGTTGAATTATAACATCATGTCATCTGGGTGCTTCATTCATCTGTAGCCTCACTCCTCTCTTCTTGCAAATGTGAGCAACTGAATTAATCGATAAAGCTGGAAAAATATGCACTCCTTTGGCAACACTGAAATGGAATTAATTTTGAGGATCTTTCTTGTCTCAACGCAGGTTGATCTGTAGACCTTAGTTAATTATCTTCATGATATTTCAAGGTCTGTTGGGGAGGGTTTCAGTTCAATGCTAATCTAGTTACAGGTAAATATACTCAGTATTTAATCAGTAGATTGAGGCTGTATTCCTGTTGTCAAGCATTCTATTAATATTTTATAGTCTAAATTGTAAAACAGTTACGAAAGAGGCTTTTCGTGTGACGAAAGTCCGGAAATCTATAAGGAAAAAAATTATTTGTAATCTCACTACCCTAGGATAAGCACTGTTAATATTTTTAATGTTCCCTAAGATAAGCAGTTAATATTTTTAATGTTATTTCCTTCCAGCCTTTTTTCAGCCCATATATTTTATAAAATTGGGTTTATATTTGGTTTTTTTTGTTTTTTTTTTTTTGCGGTACGCGGGCCTCTCACTATTGTGGCTTCTCCCGTTGCGGAGCACAGGCTCCAGACGCGCAGGCTCAGCGGCCATGGCTCACGGGCCCAGCCGCTCCGTGGCACGTGGGATCTTCCCGGACTGGGGCACGAACCCGTGTCCCCTGCATCGGCAGGCAGACTCTCAACCACTGCGCCACCAGGGAAGCCCTCGAGTTTATATTTTATGTGCAGTTTTGTATCCTGCTTTTAATACTTAATCCCATTATACTTACTTTCCTTTGTTACTCAAATTATTCACAAACTCTGTTTTGTAGTGACATGTTGTAGTATCGTGATCCACGACTCAGCTTTCCACATTGCAGCCAGTGAGCTCTTTGTAAAATGCCCATTTGATTGTACCCTTTAAGGCTTCACATTGCTGTTAGGAGAACTTGGCCTACAGGGTCTTCCACGGCTGCCACCTCTCCAGCCTGGTCCCCCTCCTGTGCTCCCTCTGGTTCTCTGGGCTCCAGCATCTGCTCCAGCCATCCGGGTCCTTTTTATTTCCTTGATCTCTCCTGCACGTGCCTCTTCCTCATACTGGATGCCTCCCCTCCCCCTCACTTGGTTAACTCCTGTTCATATTTCAGCTGTCTGCTCAAATGTCCAGTCTTCAGGGTGGCCTTCCCTGTCCCCCAGACAGATCAGTCCGCCTTGACCTGGGCTCCTAGAGCATCCTGCCTTTTTCCATCACAGGGAGCTGGTGGTCCTTATCTGCTCATTTATATGGTTACCAGGCTGGCCCACCACTTACTATAGAAGGTGCACTACAAGGGAGCATGAGTTGTGTTTGTTTTTGTCCCCATTGTGTCCCCAGTGCCTGGAATACTTTTTTGAAAGAATGAATGAATGAATGAGTGAGTTTAAAAAAAAAAGAAATGTCCAAACTAGTTCCCTACGTTGGAACCTTCAAGCAGCTTCTACTCTTAAACTATTGTGAAAACTCATGCAATGAGCACCTTTGCTTGAATTTCGTATTCTTTCTTTCGCTAGATTCCCAGCAGTGGAATAACTGGATCAAGGGGTCTGATCTTTTAAAGCTCTGGCTGAATGCTTTCTAAAATGCAGTGGGAGAGAGTGCCTCTCTCAATGAATAGGGGACATTCGGAGTGAAATAATGTGGTAGGAATCACCCGACGTTGCAGCTCTGTGCATCAGCCCACGGGTGCAGGCTTGTGCTTGAGAGCCTGGTGCCGGCGGCTTGGCCACTTCTTCCGATTCATCACCCTTGGTGGGAGGCAGCACTGAGGGCTTGACCAGGTATTCGGATAATAGTACGAAAAAATCAGAGTCAGAGCTGCTCCTAAGACCATTTAGACCTTGCATTAGAGAAGGAAATACTGTGACTTGTTTAATTAATGCTGTGAAACCAGAGTTTCTTCCTCCAGTAAAATGATCACCTTCTGGGTATCTTTGCCATTTAAGAAAGGTCCAAATTAGTTTCCTTAAATTAGCCTTGGGTTTAGCATGCAGGCATAGTATTGCGTTTCAGATTTGAATGTTTTAATTACAGCATGGGACTTCTACCCTCTGGTGTTTATGGACCGCAGTCTGCTTAAATATTTTTCATTTAAAACATAAGGTAACCTGTGTTGGTCAAACACAGTTGTATGGATAGTTCCATAAATATAGACTTTACAGTTACAGTGGGTACAGCTTAATGGTGTCTGATTAATGGCACTAAATGATCGTCAGTGTTTCTGAGGACCTACCTGGATAACCTAGGCAGAATCCCGAGGGAGCAGTTATGGAGAGAGGAAGCCTCACCCGCCTCACAGGAGGTCCGCGTGTATGGTCCCACCGGCAAGGGGGGTTGGTGTTCACAGTGTTTCCAGGCAGTAGGAGGATGTGGAAGAATGTGCAGGTTCTAGTCTGCTTGGGTTCAAATCCTGGCTTCACCACTTACTAACTGTATGACCTTGGGTTATACTCAGTTTTCTCACCTGTAAAATGGGCATAATGATAGGGTTGAAATTAAATACTTAGCAAAGAGTTTTGAGTATTGTAAGTACTCAGTAATTGTTAGCCGTGATTACTATTACCATCTCATTCGGCATCCATGTCGCCGTATTGAGAGAGAAAGGACCCGTGAGGCAGACCAGGCTTTCATTCTCTATCGCATACACAAAATCTAACACAGTGCTCGAAACGCACAGGTGAGTGGTAATAAAATGGCAATCACTTATTAATTAATGATGTCTGAGTTTAACAAATGGCAGTTGAACAACCTTATTTTCCCTGTCTGAGTTCTGAACCAGACATGCTGGAGGAGGAAGAAGACGGGGGCTCACACGTCAGGCCCATGACTGATGGAGCCATGGGAGAAGGGAGCCTGGGGCAGGTCACACTGAGCTCCCGCTGGCGGTCCTGCACGTCTGCCTCCCCCCACCTCGGTCCTTGACTGCCGCTGCCAGACTCTCCTGGCTAAGCGCCTACCGTGTCACGTGCTGTCCACAGGCAGACGCCTTCTTACCAGAAAGGCAGGAGTGAGCACGGCTGTGGAGGCTTGGTCCTGTTCTAAAGTCCCCGCTCAGATACGCCAGTTCCCTTTTCCTGGGGAGAAGTGAGGATGTGGAAAAAGGCCAGGGCTCTTTCATGAAAGAGTGGCCCTCACGTGGAAACTTGCAGCAGAGAGAAAGAGTGTTACCCTGACAGTTGATGGAATGAATAGGCAAATCTGGATGATCAAAACTATTGAACAAACCCAAGCAGGTCGTATCTAGTTTCACGGAGCAGACTGAGTTCATTCCATTAAGACTGGTCCTGTTAGAATACCTCGGAATTCGTCCGGGTCAGCTTTGGAGCACCACTGGCTGCCGTGTGCCTAGCAAATGACACATCCCTCTGCCTTCTCTTGCCTCCCTCTTCCTTATTCTGCATCCCTCAACTCAGGCATCTCCTCTGCCCAACTACCTTCATCTGTGTTAGAGGGCTCCTTCTCTTTTGCCCGCACGTGCACCTGTCGCCACTCGCACACTGTCCTGCAGCCGTGTGCAGACCTGTCTCCTGTCTCCCAGCGCCAGGGCAGCAGGGGCCCGGTCTTCCTCTCCGTGTGCGCCTGGTCCGCTCTACGTCTCCCCGTCCTGTTTGTTGATGAATGAATGCATGCGTCCGTCCTCAGCCCCTTTTAGCTCACTTTTAAGCCTTCGGTGTTCGGCAGCTGGAAGGAAGTAGGGGTCATCAGGAAGGTGCCGGATCTCCACCCGTAATGGTGCTGTCTTCTGTTTCTAGGCTCGGGCCCACCCAGCTCAAGATCTTCACCTGTGAGTACTGCAACAAGGTCTTCAAGTTCAAGCACTCGCTGCAGGCCCACCTGCGGATCCACACCAACGAGAAGCCGTACAAGTGCTCCCAGTGCAGCTACGCCAGCGCCATCAAGGCCAACCTCAACGTGCACCTGCGCAAGCACACGGGCGAGAAGTTCGCCTGCGACTGCTGTTCCTTCACCTGCCTGAGCAAGGGCCACCTCAAGGTGCACGTGGAGCGGGTGCACAAGAAGATCAAGCAGCACTGCCGCTTCTGCAAGAAGAAGTACTCGGATGTCAAGAACCTCATCAAGCACATCCGCGACGCGCACGACCCGCAGGACAAGAAGGTCCAGGAGGCCCTGGACGAGCTCTGCCTGATGACCAGGGAGGGCAAGCGGCAGCTGCTCTACGACTGCCACATCTGCGAGCGCAAGTTCAAGAACGAGCTGGACCGCGACCGCCACATGCTGGTCCACGGTGACAAGTGGCCCTTCGCCTGCGAGCTCTGCGGCCACGGGGCCACCAAGTACCAGGCGCTGGAGCTGCACGTCAGGAAGCACCCGTTCGTGTACGTCTGCGCCCTCTGCCTCAAGAAGTTCGTCAGTTCCATCCGCCTGCGCGCCCACATCAAGGAGGCGCACGGGGCCGCCCAGGAGACCCTGGTCTTCACCAGCTCCATCAACCAGAGCTTCTGCCTCCTGGGGCCCGGCGGGGACATCCAGCAGGAGGCCCTGGGCGGGCAGCTGCAGCTGGCGGAAGAGGAGTTTGTGTTCCAGGGGGTGAACGCACCCAAGGAGGCGGCCGGCGCTGGGGACGCTCGTCCCGAGGAGGGGTCCGAGGCCCCAACAGAGGTGCCCGCCGTGCCTGTGTGCTCGGCCGCCGCCCAGGCAGACAGCGCCGCCCCAGCACCCTGCGAGCTGGCGGCCTCTGCGGTGTCCTCCGACCTTTGTCGGCACGCGGTGGTTTCCGATGAGTTCCTGTTGAAGAGTGATCCCTCCTCTGCCGAGGCTCTGGCTGCTCCGGAGAAGACCTTGCACACCCAGCAGGGAGGCTCCAGTCCAGCTCAGGGCCAGGACGTCGCACCACTGCTGTCCAAGGCCAAAGGCGCCGCAGCAAACCCGGAAGCCCAGGGCGCCAAGAACCCCCCAGCTGAAGGGCAGCAAGTGGCTGCCCTCCCATCCGATGGCCCAGATCCCGGTAGGGGTCTCAGGGCAAACCCAGCCGAGGCCTCAGACCCTCCTCCGGGAGCTGGTGGGAGGGACGCGGCCCTGTGCCGGCCTGACTCTTGCACGCCCCTCCCCGAGCACCGGGCGGGCATCACTGCGTTCATGAAGATCCTGGACAGTTTACAGAAGAGGCGCATGAATACCGGCCTGTGCGAGAGGATCCGGAAGGTGTATGGCGACCTGGAGTGCGAATACTGTGGTAAGGGGGGCGTCGGGGCGCGAGGCTGGGGGCTGTCTTCCCAGCAGCCCCTCCCGTCCCCGCCTGGCTGTGGGTCACCTGGTGTTTGAGTTGAGCTCGTGTCTCTTTGCACAGAACGCCTTCTAAGAGAGCTAGCCGTCATTCGTAGATAGCGATGTGCACAGTGGTGCGTGCAGTTCAGCACGGGAAGCCTGTGAAGGCAGCCAGCATGGCGGACAGCTAACCGTGCTGGCTCCGTCAGGCGTGCAGGCGGACGCTTAGCCCACGGCCTCTGCCAGAACCTTAGCCAAGAAGCACCTTTCTTGTGGCACGTGACAAGTTTAAAGTCGAGCTTTAAGCTGTGGCCATGTCCTAGATGAGCAGAGAGATCACAGAAGTGGCTGCAGCTCTTTGTAGGGAGACCCCAAATGCAACCCTCCCAGCTTGCCGTGAAAGCGTGGCCTCTGGTCTCGTGGAGAGCTGGCAGGACAGGATGTAGATGGCCCAGGTGTCAGCAGAGTTTAGAGCCTCGTTGATTTCACGCGTGTGCATAAAGGTAGTTGGCACCTAATTGGTCCTCGATAAACATCCGTTTCCTCCTCTCCCAGCTGTGACATCATGCAGAAGTAGTAGCACCCTTAATATTTGCCACCTGCCACCTTTGAAAAGTCATGTCCAGCCAGAGATGTGGTGCAAAGTGTGAAGGGTGACCCGGACAAGCATGAGAGGGAGAGAAATATAGTAGTTAAAAAATAATACTGATTAAAAGAAATCAACTTCAGGATAAAAGAAACTTCCTTGTTCTCATGTGAAAATATTTTTTTAGGCAAACTTTTTTGGTACCAAGTGCATTTTGACATGCATGTCCGCACCCACACCCGGGAACATCTGTATTATTGCTCCCAGTGTCATTATTCTTCCATCACCAAAAACTGCCTTAAACGCCATGTAATTCAGAAACACAGTAACATCTTGCTGAAGTGTCCCACTGACGGCTGTGACTACTCGACTCCAGATAAATATAAGCTGCAGGCACATCTTAAAGTTCACACAGAGCTGGTAAGTAGTGCGCCCGAGCGGCAGCCCCGTCTCCCCTGGGTGCTCCCTGCTTCCTCACAGTGATGCATACGGAGGCGCCCGTGCTCCCCGAGAGCCCAGTGTGTGCGCGTCTTCCCTGGAAAATGGGGAGGTCCTTCTCACGAAGCAGGCCCTCCACTTTACAAAGGCCTCCATCCCAGGGGTCACAGGGACAGCCTCACATATGTTGGAAAAAAGATTACATTGAATAAATTTGCTTTTCTATGCCGATTTTTAAGCATCGGAGAAAGTCTGCAGAATAGGAGTAAAGCAAGGGTTTCTTAAATGACGTTTTAAAGAACCCTTAATAACAGGGATGATAATAAGAATAGCCGCCACTAAAAGCTGTTGAGAGAGTGAGTTAGATGATGCCTGTCAAGTGCTAAGTACGGTGTTCGGGTCATAGTGAGAGCACAGTAAACCTGATGACCACTGTTGTCGTATTACTGTGCTGTTTCTTGGAAAGTCTATGGAAGAATGTCTGTAAAGCACTTTTAAAAAAAGTGATATGTTAATTCAAGGTGCTGTTAATATTCATGGTGGCAAAATGTGTTTAATTCTCTGGTGGGTGTTGAACATGTGACACGAGTGAATGTTTATTTTAGCAAATGCTACTCTAACTTGAGAGGCTGACACCTGAGAGTGATTTGAGACTCTCCAAGTTATAAAGGAGGCGCACCTGGCCCCAAGGTGTGGTTCTGCTTTAACTGCATTCCTTTCTAGGCCACAGACTGCGCACCATGAGGCTTCAGAAACTTGATGCGCCGCCTCCGTTTTCTGGCCTAAAAATCACTAACGCTCCAGCAGTTTGTTACCAAGGGTGAAGTCAGGGTGTTTTGGGTTTCGTGGGTAGGTAAGAGCCTGCGCTTTGGGGTTGGATACCTGGATTCAGGTGTTGTCTCCAGTATCTGCACAGGCTGTGTGGTGCTGGACAAGTCACTTGTCCTTTCTGAGGCTTGGTAGCCTTCTATATAAAATGTATATTAAACAGTATATCAGCTTTGTACACACACACACACACACACACACGTATATATACACACATATGCACACACATCCACCCATGCAGTCTACACATGTGTACACACGTACCGCACACACACACCCCTGAGCACATAACGCACATGTATGCACGTGTATGTCTTTGTGTATGCGTATGGGTCTCCTGGGTTATTGGGAGGTTAAAACGGAGTGCTCTAGGTAAAGAACCTGGCTCAGAGCTTGTGCAGGTGACTGCGTGGCAGCAGCTGTACGTCACTTGGTACCTCTTAGTTCCCGTTCTCCTCTCTCTCTCTCTCTCTCTCTCTCTGCGTGTGGGGCATGAAAGGTGTGCTATTCCTGTTTACTCACAGGCAGCACACGCATTTACCTGGGGCGTTGAATGACTACGCGCTCTCCCTGAGGCAGGCAGACTGTGTTGCCGATGTGGGAAGAGAGCATTCTTTATGAAAACAGGTTCCAGTGTTTTGAGTTTAGACCATATTTGTCTTTAGAGCCTGTCAGTTATGTCTGTGATGAAGCCACAGGCACCAAGGGGATGGTGACACGGTGGAAAAACCTCCCATTGTCTGTCATCACTTATTTCTCCTCCCTGAGTTCCTAGGCAACGACCTGTCTACTTTCTGTCTCTGTGGATCTGCCCATTCTGGACGCTTCGTGTAAAAGGAGTCATAAGAGATATATATGTGCAATAATGGTGTGCATACCGCACCCCACTTTCTCAGGGTGGTGGTGAGGCTCCAAGGAGAGAGCACAAACAAGCTTTGTGATGTGAAGGTGCCTAAGGACGCTGGTCAAGCGTGGGGAGGCGTGTCTCCGGCAGGGAGCCCGGTGCCGTTCTGACCTGGGTCCAGTCCCCACGTCCGTGTGGGCCTTGGTTTCCTTGCCTGTGACCCAGAGAGATGGGGCCAGGTGCGCTGAAAGTCTGGTTGGGCTCTCACGTTCCATCCAACACTTACCTCTTTGCAACACAGGTTCCCACGTGGTGAAAAAACTAAGGAAATTTAAAGTAGAATGCATCCCCCTCTGTCCCTCCCAAAATGAGCCTCTAGTCATGTCCATTCTGGTTGCACTAGGACTCCAGGATAATTTGGCTGAGTGCCCGTTTCTGTGACTCTCAACAACCGTTTCTTAGCTAAAGATACACCTAATGACTGGAAGGTGTGTGTACATTTAATGTAGCTCCTTCCCACCTCCTCCCTCCCATTAGTAGCCAGATGGCGTGACTTGGAGTCAAGGATGTGTTGGCATCAAGGAAACGTGGGACCTGGTCAAAGGAGTTAGTCAATGACCGGAGCAAACCCATTTTATTTACAGCACTGTGCAAACTTTGTGAAAGGGAGACTTGAGAAAACATGGTTTCTGTACAATAAAAGGCAGGCTTTGGGTTCTAGCATGTTAGAGTTGAGACCCCATATCCACCTCTGTGATCCTGGGCAAATTGCTTAGCTTCCCTAAGCCTCAGTTTTCTCATCTGTCAAATGGAGATATGGAACTCTCTCCGACCTCTCAGGATTGTGAGGATTAAACTAGAAATTAAGTATAGAACAGCCAGGTCAGTGTTTTTTCAGCCCCCAGGTCATGATCCATTATAGGTTTGTGAAATTAGTGGATTACAACCAGTTTATCTTAAAAATGAAATGGAATAGAATGAAATAGAAATGATCAGCACTATTTACCCATGACAAGGTAATAGGTATTGTTTTCTGAGACCTTTTGTCCTGTGTTTCAGTGTGTTTATATGCCACTGTGTGTGCCAGTATGTTCTGGGTGGTGATATCAAATGGGTGACCTCCTGTGTAGGTCCAATTAAATAACTTTGTAAGTCACTGACCCCGATGATGTAAGTTATGACATCCTGAATCAGAATTATTTGGGGGTACACGTTATGAATGAGATTCCTGGCTCAGACCTCCACCATAATTTGGGGGGCGGACCTGGGAATCTGTTGTTTAAATAAGTTTGCCCTGATACAGACATTTGACATAGCAGGAAGTCGAACTTATGATGTATGTTCAGGATATGTCAGTCTGTCCCCTTTGTCTCTGGCTCGTGTCCCTTCTCAGAAGATCTCTCAGGCACCCAACGCTCAGGGCACTGTAGCAGTTACAAGTCCACACTTGGGAAGAGCGGGCACATTTTGGCGTTCAGACTCCACCATCTGCAAGTGGTGTGGCTTCACTGCCTAACCTCTCTGACCTCTTGTCTGTAAAGTGGGGTGGCAGTCCCCACCTCTGGGGTTGCTGTGGGAAGTTAGTGAGATAACGATTGTGAGGGACCCAGCACAGGTCCAGGCATGGCGGGGAGGCCGGTCTACACCAGCTCCTCCTTTTTAGTAGTGGTGGCAGGAGGAGGGAGGAGGAATAGTAACAGCGGTGGTGGTGCTTCCATCCAGGGTGAGGTGGCCTTTCAACAAATGTTTAAAGTTAATGCCTGTCTTCGAGAAGTGTGTAGACTGTATTTGGCTATAAAGGTAAATGTATTTATGAAATCTTACGTGTACTTGCTGGAAGTAAACTAAAATAATATATTGCCAACACAGAGAAGTAGATGGAGCGACCTCCAATATCTTTCTGGAAATAAATGGGTCTGTCTATAGTTTTTTTTTTAAAGTAGAGTAAAATGTTATTCAACTAAAGCAATTGGACAAAAGGTTTTTCCTTTCTAAGAGCTGCAAGAGTACGGTCTTTTCTTACGTGGTCGCAGACTGCCTGTTTCTGTGCTGCCCTGTTTGAGCATCTATCCGCAGTGCTGGGGACCTCTGGCAAGCGGAGTTTCCTGCGTCTAAAACAGCTGCCTGTTAGCAAGCCCGAGGGCCGGAAGTGAGGGGCACGGCCTGCAAAGCAGAGCAGCGCTCAGCCGCGCTCAGTGGACAGGAAGAGCCTGGAGTTGAAATCCCACATGGAGCACGTTTCTGGCTCTTTTCTAACTTGTTAAATTAGCCACGATGGAAGTGTCAGTTTTCCTGTCTGTCACACCTTCTCTATGTCCCACGATGATTAGTGGCCTCTGTGTGCTGGCAGTTCTCACCAGTTTATGAGCCCCTTGAGGGCAGGGCCAGAGTCTCCCACCTTTGTCCCCAGTGCTATGTCCGGCACAACACAGGGGCCCCAGAAGGTTTGAGGAATAAATGAGTGAGTCCGTGGCCTTTTTATTCCTGAGAAATTGTTCAGAGTGGAATCTCCCACCTTATTTTTTTAACCTGATGTCAGACACTTTATAGGTGTACTTATGTGATCGTTAATACACTTGGTGGCAGGGTGGAGGTAGATTTGATATTTTTCACCCACCGCTGGTTTCAGGCTTGAGAATTGCCCTGTGGCTTCGGGGGCCGAGGAACCTGCCACAGAGGCGTAGGCCAAGGCGGGGTTCATCCAGAGCTGCGAGCCGTGCTCGGAGCTTCAGCCCCGGAGCTGCTCCCGCCCCGCCTCCGCCCCACACCCCATGGCCACTGCCACCTGCTGCCACCTGCCTTCTTTCAAAGAGTCCTGTGTGGCTTTGAAGGCCATTTCCATCAGAGCAAACAAACTGCGAGGGCTGGGCTCTTTTACCGCCATTACGGCGCGGGGCGCTCTCTCCTCCTCTGCCGAGAACTCTTTTCACCACTGTGCTTTTTAAGTTTGCTGTGTCAGTTTGGGTTTTCATCTCCGGTCGGGAACTGAGGTTTCTGCAAAAGAAATAAATGAGTCCTTAGAGTGCACCCTTCTCCAACACCCTCTCTCACTGCCTGCATCCTTCCGACAGTCTTCAAAGGCATCAAGAAGTGAGGGACCCTGATAAGCTCTAAGATAAATTGCTTTCAGACTATCAGAGATTAAAAGAAAAAAAATCAAATAGCAAGGGCTCAGGAGAGATCAGTGTAAACTCCTTCAAAGCCCTTCTGAATGCCTCCATTAGCTCTGATGATGAGGACACTGGGGCAGCCAGGGGTGGCGACAGGCCTCCTCCAGGGTGTGTGCTGCCCGGGACGTCTTTCAAAAGGGCGTGAGAGCACCAGTTCCTGTGTGCAGGTGCCGGGAGTGATGGGGTGACCTGGAAGGTCAAGGGCATAGGAGGTCACTGATGGGAGTACATTGACAAGCCTGGACCCTGTGATGTAGCCTGGGTGGAAGTCGGTGGCATCGACCACTGCAAAACTGGGCAGAAAGTACGGAGATTTCCCTGTGTACCCACTATCGCCACATGTGCACAGCCTCCTGCACTCTTGACATCCCATACCTTAGCGCTACCTTTGTTACAGTTGATAAACCTACGTTGACACGTGAGTAACACCCAGAGTCCATAGTTTACATTGGGGTCCACTCTTGGTGCTGCACATTTTTGGGATCTGGACAAATGTTTACTGATGCATACCCCTCATTATAGTACCCCACAGCGTAGTTTCACTGCCCTGAAAATCCTCCTTGCTCTTCCTGTCCACCCCTCTCTCCCCACTACTCCCTGGCTACCACGGATCCCTTTACTGTCGCCATCATTTTGCTGTTTTCAGAATGTCTTATAGTTGGAATCATATAATATGTAGCCTTTTCAGATTGGCTTTTTTTCTCCTAGTAATATGCATTTAAGTTTCTTTCACATCTTTTCATGGCTTGATAGCTCATTTCTTCTTAGCACTGAATAACAGTCCATTGTTTGGTTGTACCACAATTTGTCCATTCATATACTGAAGGACATCTTGGTTGCTTCTAAGTTTTGGCAGTTATGAATAAAGCTGCTTCATCCGTGTGTAGGTTTTTGTGTGGACATAAGTTTTCAGTTCATTAGGATAGATACCAAGGAGTGCAATTGTTGGGTCATATGGTAAGAGTATTTGAGTTTTGAGACAAACTGCCTTCCAAAGTGGCTGCACCATTTTGTATCCCCACCAGCAACGAATGAGAGTTTCCATTGCCCCACATACTCACCGGCACTTGGTGTTGTCAGTGTTCTAGATTTGGATCATTCTATAGGTATGTAATGGTACCTTGTCGTTTTGAGTTGCATTTCTCTGATGACATATGATGTGGAACATCTTTTCATATGCTTACTTGCCATTTGTATATCCACTTTGGTATGGTGTCTGTTCAGGTCTTTGGCCTATTTCATCAGATGTAACTTTTGAAAATATTTTCTCTCAGTCTGTGGCTTGTTTTTTCACTCTCTTGACAGTGTCTTTCATGGAGCAGAAATTTTTAATTTTAATGGAGTCTAGTTTATCAATTCTTTTCTTTTTCAAGGGTAATGCCTTCGGGGTTATATCTAAAAAATCATTACCATACTCCAGGTCATCCAGGTTTTCTCCTGTGTGTTCTAGGAATTTTATAGTTTTGTATTTTGCATTTAGATCTGTGATCCATTATTAGTTAATGTTTGTGGAAGGGTGTAAGGTTTTTGTCTAGGTTCATTTTTTTTCTTTTGCATGTGCCTGTCCAGTTTCAGCATCATTTGTTGAGATAACTATCTTTTAAAATTAATTATTTATTTATTTTTGGCTGCGTTGGGTCCTCGTTGCTGTGCGTGGGCTTTCTCTAGTTGCGGCGAGCGGGGCCTACCCTTTGTTGTGGTGTGCGGGTTTCTCGTTGCATTGTCTTCTCTTGTTGCGGAGCATGGGCTCTAGGCACGCGGGCTCAGTAGTTGTGGTGCACGGGCTTAGTTGCTCTGTGGCATGTGGGATCTTCCCAGACCAGGACTCAAACCCGTGTCCCCTGTGTTGGCAGGTGGATTCTTAACCACTGTGCCGCCAGGGAAGCCTGAGATAACTATCTTTGAACCATTGTGTAGCATTTGCTCGTGTGTCAAAGATCCATTGACTGTATTTAAGAGAGTCTATTTCTGGACTCTGTTCTGTTCCATTTGATCTATTTGTCTGTTATTTCACCAGTATCACATACTCTTCATCACTGTAGCTTTATAGTAAGTCTAGAAGTTGAGTAATGTCAGTCCTCCAACTTTGTTCTTCTCCTCCAGTATTTTTTGTTGGCTTCTGGGTCTTTTGCCTCTCCATATAAACTTTATAATCAGTTTGTCAGTACCCACAAAATAACTTGCTGAGGTTTTGATTGAGATTGCATTGAATCTGTAGATCAAATTGGGAAGAACTGACGTCTGACAACAATGAGTCTTCCTATCCTTGAACCTGGAATAGCTCTCCATTTATTTAGTTCTTTGATTCCCTTTATCAGTTTTGAAGTTTTCCTCATAGAGATCTTGTACATATTTTGTTAGATTTATACCTAAGCACTGAATTTTTTGTGTGCTAATGTAAATAGTATTGTGTTTTTAATTTCAAATTCCACTTGTTCATTTCTAGTATATAGGAAAGCAATTGACTTTTGTATATTAACCTTGTATCCTGTAACTTGCCATAATCGCTTGTTAGTTCCAGGAATGTTTTTGTCTGTTCTTTTAGAATTTCTGCATAGGTGATTATGTCATCTGCAAACAAAGACAATTTTAATTTCTTCTTTCTCAGTCTCTATATATTTTATTTCCTTTTCTTGTCTTATTGCATTAGCTAAGACTTCAGCTATGATGTTAAAACAGAGTGCTGGGAGGGGACATCCTTGCTTTGTTTCTAATCTTAGTGGGAAAGTCTCTGGTTTCTCACCATCAAGTATAATGTTAGCTATAGGTTGTTTGTAGATACTCTTTATCAAGTTGAGGAACTTCCCCTCTATTCCTGCTTTACTGAGATTGCTTATCATGAATAGGTATTGGATTTTGCCAAATTATTTTTCTGCCTCTGTTGATATTATCATGTGGTTTTTATTTCTTAGCCTGTTGATGTGATGGATTACATTAATTGATTTTAGAATGTTGAATCAACCTTGTACCTGGGATAAATCCCACTTGGTTGTGGTGTATAGTTCTTTTTAAACATTTTGGGTTTTATGTGCTAATATTTTGTTGAGAATATTTGCATCTATGTTCTTGAGAGATACTGGCTTGTAATTTTCTTCTCTTGGGGTGGGTTTGGGTATTTTCTCTCTCCCATGAAGACATGGTGTTCTCCCTCTTGCAGGTCTCTGTCTACATTTCCTCTTTTTAAAAAATTTTTTATTTTTCAATATCTTTATTGGAGTATAATTGCTTCACAATGGTGTGTTAGTTTCTGCTTTATAACAAAGTGAATCAGCTATACATATACATGTATCCCATATCCCCTCCTTCTTGCGTCCCCTCCCACCCTCCCTACCTCACCCCTCTAGGTGGTCACAAAGCACTGAGCTGATCTCCCTGTGCTATGCAGCTGCTTCCCACTAGCTATCTGTTTTACATTTGGTACTATATATAAGTCCATGCCACTCAAGGACACTAGTCATATTGAATTAGGGCCTGCAAACTCATCTTAACTAATTACATCTGTAATGACCATATTTCCAAATAAGGTCATATTCTGAGGTACTGGGGGTTAGGACTTCAACACATGAATCTGTGGGGGCAGAATTTAACCCATAACACCCACCCTCTGAAGAACTGTCTTGTGAAATGGCATTACTCTGAGAGGAAAGGCGGATGAGCAATGGCGTGATCCTTCACAAAAGCTTCTTCCTAATTGAGAACGTGGCACTGCAGGCAGGTGGGTTGACGAGCCAGCAGATGCACAGAGCGAGCCCCTTACCTGCAGCCTGGGTGGGACGTGGCCTTAGAGTGGTCGGAGCCTGGGGTGGGTGTCCGTACCCTTGGGTTCCGACGCTGCCTCTTTCTCGCAGACCTGGGGCTCTTTGCCCTTGGTCTTGGTTTCTTAATCTGTAAAAGCGTAATAATGCCTGTCCTTCAAGAGTGGTCATGAGTCTCAATAAGATAACTTATAGGAACCCCTCACACACACCATGCCTTGAGCACTGGAGGGCAGAATACGTGTCGGGCTGTGGAGCAGCCCTGGTCTGCGTGGTAGACCTCGAGGCCGAGCCCCACCCTCCCTGGCCTGGCCACCTCCACAGGTCCGTTGTCTCTAAGGCCCGTCCCTCCCTCCTGAAATGCAGGTGAGGCCATTGCCCCACTGCCCTTGAGCTCCCCGGGCTGTGCGGGGCCAGCTGCGGGCTGCATGCCAGGCGCTGGGAAAGGTGCGCTGTGCATCTAGCTGTGACGGTGATGGTGGTGGTGGTGGTATTTTTCCACAGAGCCTGAGTTTTAAACGAGACAGTCCATTGATTATGCTCTCTTTCTGTTAAGGACAAAAGGAGTTATTCTTGTCCTGTGTGTGAAAAGTCTTTTTCAGAAGATCGACTGATAAAGTCACATATCAAGACCAACCATCCCGGTAAGGTTATGCATCTTAGAGTGGGAGATTGATTTTAAGATGCTTATGTTTATTTTAAGACACAGCATTATATATCAACTGTATTAAATGGAAATATAAGAGGGAATAAAGATATGAGTAAATTCAAGGGCAAGAATTAACTTTTTTTAAAGCTCAGGAGTTTATATATTCATGTGCTTCATTTTATCCTTTCATCTGGTCTTCAGATACGTCTGCCCCAGTCTCATGATTCCCCCCACCTTTTGTAAAAAATTTTTCTTAGAGTATAGTTGATTTACAATGTTCTGTTAGTTTCAGGTGTACGGCAAAGTGAGTCATTTATACATATACATATGTCCATTCTTTTTTTTTTTTTTTTAGATTCTTTTCCCATATAGGCCATTACAGAGTATTGAGTAGAGTTCCCTGTGCTCCCTTCCCCTTTTAATAGTAACTGTGACTGCCTTTAGATGGGTCCCTTACCCAGTGCAGACCCGACACATATTCTACTTCCTTGGCCCCCTTTGTAGGTTCCTGAACCAAGTGATGGTTTACAAGGGGTGTAGTGAGTTGGAGTGACCATCACCTTTGGTGTCCTCAAGCCCCAAACTCCCTGGGCATCACATGTCTTGTCACTTTTGTTCTCACTGCCTGGGACCCTGCTCCTTGGTTCTGCCCAGTCAATTCCTGGGTATTCTCGACGTCCTCCCTCAGAGCCACCTTGGGGAGCCTTTGGTGGCCGCCCCCTCCATGTGGACCGTCACGGTGCACTCACCCCTGTACTCTAGGCACTGGTATTCTCCCGCTGCCCAAGAGCCTTGAGGCAGGGCCGCCATCCTCAGCGGCTTGTCCCCAGACCCCCGGTGCCACGTCGCTTGGGGCCCAGGAGTGCAGATGTATGCTGTGTGTGCATAAATGGAGAACAGAGCAGCTAGGTCCGTGTCCCTTTTCTCTTTCTCTTACTTTGTGTCTGCTCCTCCTATTGGGGAACTGACCCACTGATTAAAGATGATACTGGAGAAAAATGAAGAAATAACGGAAGTGCGCTAACCCTCATGTTTCTTCTGGGATCGGGGAGCCTTGTGGCCTTCCTCCACGTGGGGACACGTGGGTTATGTGATTCTCTGACCGCCCAGTTCTGTCCTCCCCGTGTTAACCCGCGTCCTGTGTAACCTGTGTCCAGTGTGGGCCAGGGATACCCATTTAACCCCTTCAACTTTTGCTTATTATTTTAAATTTTTTATTATGTAAAATTTCAAATGGGTACAAAATACGCAGAATAATATAAAGGACAGCCAGGTACCCATAACTCGGCTTCCATAGTTGTCTACGTTTGGTCAAGCTGCTGGCAGAAACTGACCCCCACTTTTTTCCCTCAAATATTCTACGGTATAGCCCAACATGATGTGATTTCCCCATAAAAAAGCTTCAGCCTGCATCTCCAACTAACAAGGACTTTTAAAAAACAGAGCTAACACATCACCATTAAAACAGCATTAAAAGTAGTTTCTTATTATCAGTTAGTATTAGTCCATTTAAAGTTTCCATTTAAAGTTTCCTCAGTTGACACAGACTTCCTTTTTACAGTTGGTTTGTTTGAATCGAGTTGTTATGTCACCTAAGTTTCTTGTGTTCTGCAGGACACCCCCAGCCCTGCTTTTTTCCCCCATGACGTTAATTTGTTGGGGAAACTGAGTCTCTTTTCCTGAGTGGTTTCACATTCTGCCTTTGTCCTACTGTGGCCTCGTGATACTGTTTCTCCATCCCACACATTTTGTGTTAACAGAAATTTAGCTCTGAGACTCGCTTAGATTCTGGTTTGACTTTTTAGGCAAAAGTCCTATCACGTGACGCCACGAGGCACATGGTTAACTCGCCTCCTCAGAGCTGCTGGGGTCGAGTGGAGGTGCAGGTTCTGTCAGGAGGCTCACTGACGTCTAACTTGAACCACGGTTCTTTGGCTGCTTCTAGTTCTCATCCTGCTTTTCTTCTAGAGGTTTCCATGAGCACCATTTCCGAGGTTCTCGGGAGGAGGGTGCAGCTGAAAGGGCTCATTGGAAAGAGAGCCATGAAATGCCCGTATTGTGATTTCTATTTCATGAAGAATGGCTCAGACCTTCAGCGTCATATTTGGGCTCATGAAGGTGAGTATTCCTCCATCAAAATGGAGCCCCTTTGTGATTTTGTGTTTCCTTTGGGAATTCTTTAGGAGGAAGCTATATCTCCACATCCCCTGTGGTTAGAATTTCTTTAGTGTGCTGAGAAATGTGTCCGTCAGCCAGATTTAAAGCATTACTCAGCTGCAGTTGCGGTGCGCAGCGATGTGCATTCTTCACGGCTCTGGTTGGAGCTGTAGTTAAGCCAATCACCACAACTCCTGGGCGGAAAGCAAGCTTCAGGAGAGCAGCAACCGCGCTGGCTTGGTCACGGTGGTAACTCTGGTGGCCGCCCCCCGGGCGCTGGTGGTGGTAGGCGGGGGGTGGGGGGGGGCAGTTGCTGGTGTCTCGGGTGAAGGAAGGCCAGGAGGATGGCAGAGTCCTCTGATTCCGGCTGGGGAAGACTGGGTGGAGATGAAGCCGGGCGAGGAGGAAGGTAGGCCATGCCTTGGGGTGCTTGCCTGTGAAGGGAGATGTGGGCCGCGCTCTAGGACGCTGGGCAGTTGGAGGTCAGGGTGCTGTTAGGGACGGCGGGGCTGTGCCTCTGCCCCTGGAAGAGGACACTACTCTCCTGGTGATGAGGCTGGGAGGCCTGGGGCCAGGGAGGGCCCTTCCTGTGAGTTAGGAACCTGCGGTGCTGGTGGCAGGCAAGCAGGACGGCTCCACAGGGAGAAGGAATAAGTATTTTCTACGATCTGGGATCAAGCGAATGGTTCAGTAAAGAGAACAGTAGCTGATGGAGTAGGAACCTGGACACGGCAGGAGGAGCTGGGCTGCTTTTTCGTTGACCAGCACGCACGCGCCTCCGCTCTGTGCCGCTGGGCACACCCCACAGCCTCGTTAAAGCCTGGGCCTCCTTGACTGCAAGGTCGCAGGTAGTACAGACGAGGGGTGGCCGTGCTGGGTTCACTGAAACGTGCCTGTCATACCCCGTGTTCAGGTGCAGGCACAGCTCCCCTCCCCCATCAGCGTGTCGCACCAGGTGGTAAGGGCTCTTTGCCGGTCCATTCCCTCTGGACCGGGAAGGCCGGGCCAGGGCTTCGCGCCTTGAAATCAGCCCTCGGTGTTTACTACAGAGTAGGTCCTCGGTACATGTCTGTGGAACGAAGGAGGAGTAGCCAAAGGGTAAGACGCCCCTGCAGTCGAGCCATTAGCCCAACAGCGGCGACTAGCGTGGTAAAGCTCTGCTTATTTTGTGAACTGAGATACGCTCTCATGTGTGATCCTGCGTGCCTGATCCTGGTGGCTTTTGCCAAGGCCCTTGGTTAATTTCTGTCACTTTAACTCAACTCAGGTGAGTAAACGTCTGCTGCTCCAAATGCTCGAGTCTGTGCCCTCAGAGATTCCAGACTGTGGGGAGAGGAGGTGTAAGCTACCCACTGTAAAGTGCTGTGAGCAGTGCAGCAGTAGTGGCAGGCGGGATTTGGGTGCGCTGAAGGGGAGGCAAGGAATTCTACTGCAGGCCCAGGAGGAAAGGGCTTCCTAGTTGGAAGACGTAGCACGGGTAGGAGTGTGGCCTGGGGAAGTGTGCGGCGTGTTTAGGGACCAGCATGCACTGCTTTATTCAAAATGGACAAGGAGACGTGTGTGTAGATATGTATACATATATGTTCCTTCTGATACACACACGTATACATGAATACACGTGTATATCTGTTTTTTCTCCTCCGGTAGGTGTGAAGCCCTTCAAATGTTCTTTGTGTGAGTATGCAACTCGTAGCAAGAGTAACCTCAAGGCTCATATGAACCGTCATAGCACTGAGAAGACCCACCTATGTGACATGTGTGGCAAGAAATTCAAGTCAAAAGGGACATTGAAAAGTCACAAGCTCCTTCACACTGCTGACGGTGAGTGAGCGACCCCACAGGGAGCTTTTCCTCCTAAAAGTGTGGTTGGAATCTTACATCCCGAGTCCAGCAGAAACCGTGGCTGCACCTCGAGCAGGAAGGAGCCTCTGTCTTTGGAACTTCCGTTGCGAAGGAGAGCAGAGTGAGCTCGCCTGCTTCCGTGCTCAGTGCTGGAGCCGTGCTGACCCCACCAGTGCTTGCTAAACACTCGCTGTGTGTGTGTGTGTGTGTGTGTGTGTGTGTGTGTGTGTGTGTGCGCGCGCGCACGTGCACGCGTGCACTTGTTGGGGGTGGATGTGGAGGGGGCGCTCCTTCAGGGAATAAGGTATCCTCAGGAGGCCTTGATCTGGAAGTTTCAGTCCTGTTCAGCCCTCCATCCCCACCCGAGCCTGACGGTCCTGAGGGGTGGCCGTGACCACACCTGACTTGATGCTTCAAGGGCGTGCTCTTTATCATCCAAGCTACCTCAGGGTTCCCGTATTCAGTCCAAAATGAGACTCAGTCTAAAATACAAACAGCATTTGGGCAGTTTGACCTTGATAAAGTACACCTCAGTGGATTTCAGGTTTCATTCATTCACCAAGAACCACTGACCCAGTTCTTCCTGTGTGCTGCCCTCTGCCTGGGGTACAGGGTCAATAAGGAACAGTTCCTGCCTTCAAGAAGTTTCTAGGCTATAGCGGGAGGAAGAGAAGCTTGTGGGCCATGGGGAAGGCGGGCGCTGTGACGCGAGGGGCCGGGAGCTCTGGGGAGGAGGGTGTGCGTCTCAGTGACCGGGAAGGTCGCCTTGAGAGGGGCCCGACAGAGAAAGAAAGGCTGAATCACAAAATTATTTTAGGAAGACAGGCAGCCAAACCATAAAAGACCTAATATAACATTTAAAATGTTCCTTTAGACCCCAGTTGTGGGAGGGTCTTGTCAGTATCACATTTGACGAGATTAATCAACTATACCAATGAGTTGTTATTTTAGCACAATGATATACAAAAATCGGCGTCCACTATGAAAACTGAAGGGATTTCAACAGAGAGTTTTGATTTCAGAGCGCAGAGGATGATCCAGCCACTAGGTTCTACCTTTACTTTAAGATTGTTCCAGGGGATCTCGTCCTGTGCGCCGTCAGGGAGCTCGAGGGGCTCGGCCGAATGCTCGGCCTGGGATTCATCAGAATTGAGGACCAGGGCTTGCCTCAGGCTGAACCAAAGCCAGAGCCCTGCTGTTCAGACTTAAGCAGTGTGCTGAAAATTTAAAAATCCATAATCAAAGTAATTAAAGATACAGTGACAGCAAAGCAGTCGTATCCTGAGTAATGAAAGCATTAAGTCCTGTAATCATTCGTGAATTCTTACACCTCTTCCAGCAATAAGCCTCACTGGTATTTCTTGACATGGTCGCACAATATTCGCTGGAATCCCTAATGATACAGCGCCAGTTATGAGAAGCGGCCGTCCCCAGAGCCAGGGAGGTGTGGCGTGTCCACTGGGCTGTGAGGGCAGGTCTGGAGGGCTGGGAAGGGCACTGTGGCCTCGTGCCCGGCTCCGAGGTCTGGGCTCGGTGCCGAAAGACTGTGAGAAGATGGGGCGCATGTCTGATCAGGGATCGTGGACAGGCCGTCCTGGGTCGTGCAGGGGTGGGGTTGGTGTAAGTAGTGGCATCACAGCAGGCATCCCAGGGGCACTCAGCCTGTCCAGCCTGTCACTTCGCTTGCCTCCCTGAGCTCTTCAGCAGGAAGGGGAGTTCAGATGGACAAATATGTGTGTGGAGTCAAAGCAGTAACACGACCTTCCCAAAAGACTTTATGAAATATTTTCTTAACAAAGCAGGAAGTTTGCACTGTTACTCTTCATTTTCTTTCCTGACATTCTTGGGAGGATGAGGTATTTTGTAAAGTCATGTCTTATTTTCAAACACTCGCCAGTCTGTGAAGAAGGGCATCAGTTCTTGGGTGTGACCACCAGGAGGACAGTGGGACAGGGGCATCCTCGTGGGCTTCTTCCCTACTTGGGCCTCGGTCTTGTTATGCTGCAAAATAAGGACGTGAGACCTTAATGTTTCTTGGGTCTCTTTAGCCTTGATGCTCTGTGATTCTAGGAGGCAAGTGTAATGGAGTGCTTCAGATGTGGAAATGTGCGGTGCAGTGTCATTTTCTCTGGTCTCACTTTGGGGTGACCACTTCTTCCCCAGGCCTGCTGGGACTCCTTTGTGTGTCTGTTTTGACACTTGCTGTGGTGTCATGCCTTCTCAAAGGCCAGCCTGGTGAGTGGAGTCCTGGGTTGTAGACCAGCTGTTCATCTCCATTGGTGATCTGTTCTGTAACTATAGGCTCTTCTTTTCCTTTTCAGTTTTAAAAAAGCTTTAAACAACTTTAGTTACATCTCTCACCCATTTTTTGGTAGTGCTCACATTTTATTTTGCTGACTTCTGAAAGCTTTTTGTATCTCAGTGGTTTGTCATAGTGTGCAAATATTTCCCTCCAACTTACCATTTGCTTCTATGTTTTTAGTGTATCTTTTTATATATAGATGCGAAATAACTTAGCATATTTAAATTGGTCAGTCTCTTCCTTTATGTTTTTTCCTATTTCCATTTATTTCTCTATGTTAAAAGAAACCTTCCCCATCTTAGGGGAAAATTCTTTTGTATTTTCTTCAAGTTTTATTTTGTGGGTTTATAACATGTATGAAATTTAATATTCTTGACATTTATTCTGGTGCAAGGTCTGTCATAGGATTCTTTGTTTCTCAGCAGTTATCAGTTGACTCAACATATTTATTGAGAAATCAGTCCTTTCCATTTTGTTTTGAAATGCCAGAATTTCTCAAGATGTTGGGTGTATTCTGGGATTTTGGTTTGTTTTGATGATCTTTGCTCTAGTACATTGTTTTGCAAGATACTCTTCTAAAAATTATAATATTATTCCTTTTTCTTCTTTTTTTTTTGTGGACATCTAGTTTTTCTCATTTAATTATTATTTCTTTGGGTAAACTGGACGGCTTCATGAGCTGTTTGACAACAGCTGAAACATGCTTTGAATTCCTCGGGGAAATGTGCTCATACTAGGGGCCTGGCTACCTTGATGAGGCTCCCAGCCTGTAACCATAGAGTTAGCTCTTTATTTAGAAGCAGGCATGGCTTTAAAGCCTGCCTGAAATTATTTGGTTTTCCGCACAGTTGTGTCAGTAATAGTTCAGCAGGTTGCTTCTCAGAGGAGCTGCGTGAAGTAGGCAGAGCTGGGGAGGCTTGAGTCTCGCCTGCCACTGCCTGGTAGGGTGGCCTCGGCTCAGTGACTCCTCTGAGCCTCAGTCTCCTCCTCAGTGAAGTGGGGATAATTATACCCCCCTCGCCTAGTGGCTGCAAGGTTGGAAGGGCAGGCGCTGCGCCCCCCTCGTCTGGGCTTCTTCCCATGCTTCTGGCCGCCCCTCAGTCTCCTTTCCTGGTGCCCCCTCAGCTCTGACCTCTACATCTTGCCAGGCCGCAGGGCTCCATGCGAGAACCCTTCCCTCTGCACCCTCACCCTAGGTGATCCTCTCTGCCTCATGGCTTTACACACCATTTACGTGAAGGCTTCCAAACTTCCATTTCCAGACCCGTCCTCACCCCCAGCCTTCAGCTCTGCATCTGCCGCTGCCCACTCAGCATCTGTGCCTGTGTCTGGAAGGCCCCTCAGACTTAGCACGTGCGTCTCCTGTGGTCCAGGGGCCACCAAACTCTCTAAAGACACAGTACATTTTTTAGGTTGAGAGCCACCTAGGGCTTCCGCTGCATATTCTTCTTTGTTTTAGTTAGTTTGTTTGTTTTCACAAACCTTGAAACATGTCAAAGCCATTCTTAACCCCCAGCTGTTACGAAACAGGAAGCAGGCTGCATTCGGCCCATGGGCCGCAGTTTGCCGACCCCTGCTCTACGCCATCTCAGTAAATGCAGCTCCTTTTCAGGCACTCGGGTCAGAAACTTCGAGTCACTCACTCCTGACTGTCTTGTTCACACCCTGCAGATGGTCCTCTAGCAAATCCTGTGTGTTCTTGCCTCGACGTGATCCAGAATTCTGCCACTTCTGGGCGTCCTCACGGCTTGGCCGCCGTCCCCTCTTGCCTCTGTTCTTGCAGTAGCATCCCAGCTGCTTTTCCTGCTTCGGCCCTGTCCCCACAGTCAGTCCTGTTGCACGCACCTCAGAGTAACTGCCAAAATCCTAACCGTGATCTCTCTGACCCCTTCACCCCGCCCCCATCTCTGGCCTCATGTGCGCTGCTCTCTCCAGACGGATCCGTCTCCTCTCTGCTCTGCAGGTCTGCCAGGTTCATGCCCACCTCAGGGTACTTGCCCTCCCCCTGCCTGGTGTGTTCTCCCCGCCAGATGCCTGAATGGATAACTTCGTTCATGGCCTTCAGGTCCCACTCGAGAGTCCTCTCAGGAAGGCCTTCCCTTGGCTACACTGTGTGTTTATTTATTTATTTTTTATTATTTTTTATTTTTTTACATCTTTATTGGAGTATAATTGCTTTACAATGGTGTATTAGTTTCTGCTTTATAACAAAGTGAATCAGTTATACATATATATATGTTCCCGTATCTCTTCCCTCTACACTGTGTGTTTAAAATCTCAGCGTTCCACCAGATCATCCCAAATCCCCTCGTGTTTATGTTTTTCTTTTGGCTTATCTTTCTCTAGTGTACTATATAGTTTTCTTGTTTGTCTTTTTTTTGTCTCTACCACTGGAACTCTCCCACTTAACTTCATACTTTTCTTCCATGTTTCTTACTGTTTCTTCTTAGAGCTATCTTTCTCTAATGTGCAATATATATATATTTTTTCATGATTTTCTGTGTCTTCCACTAGACTGTAAGCTCCTCAAGCAGGGAGTTTTGACTTACGCTATTGGTTTTGTTTCGTATCCCCAGCACCTAACAGTGCCTGACTTGCAGTAGGTGCTCCATGACGTTTTGCTGATTGATGAGTGAAGGAACATGTAAAGTGCCTTACATAGAGTGGGTGGGACGTA